CGGGGGATTTAATGTTGATAAATACAAGTGGCTATAGCAACAACGGCTGGTTAGACTTTCAGACTTAAGAAACAATTCCACCAGTAACCAGTGCGTTGATAATGGCATGATTCATATGAAACATTTTACATTTAATTGTCAAGTTCGTAAATATAATTATGAAATTGTGTTAAAGGTAAAGGTTCTGAATCTGGATCCTGACGGAAGTCGGTGGTTCTTTCCCGATTTTCGGACTTCCTCCGCCAATAATAACGGACCGCCATGATAAACCCAGGAGTGTTGAAAGTGCAAATTAACAACAAAAATCAATCAATTAATCCGACATTGGGGAAAAAAATATGGTATATTATATTCTGTTCAGGCTGTAATAATTTTCATCTTTCGAAACTATTTGGCTTGAGCATTCACCTGATAATGGTTAATCTAGAAAATACGTTGTATGCTCGAAAATTTAACCGAGATACGTTTTATTACCACTGGGACGGTACCGTTGGTGGTGGTAGACTCCCATATTCCTATTGAATGAACCCCCAGAGGCATATTCTTAGGTAGTGGCAATATTCAAATGTTACCTTTTATCTGGTAATGTCCTGTTCATACGCACATACAATTATGAAATTGGGGCAACTTCGTCAGAAAAAGTTGACTTTGGACAGGTTCTTGTTGGTCTGAACGTCAGACAAATGCGACCTTTGACTGGTTCTTGTTAGTCTGTTTATGTCCTCTTGGTTTTTGAGTCTCCAGTATTTAAATGTTCGACTTCCAATTACTTCTATCGAGCAAACCTGATAAAGTCATTTTTAGAAATATGTGATTCTCGTACGGAAATCATATCATACCGTTTAAAAGGGTAAAATCTGTCCGATTAAGCGTTCGCTGCTACATGCGTAAGGAACATAATAGTCGTCGGAAATTGAATGGTGGTCTCCAACTATAATAACAAAGAGATGTGGTCCGGACTAGGCCGATCAAATAGCAACCCGTCGACACAAAAAAAGTATTACGATGCTTTAAAATAAAATTATATTAATATTGTCAGTACTATTGATAACGGTCGAAATAAAATATTACAACCAAACTTACTATCTAGACTGGATGCTCGTCCTTTACATGTTTGGCTCTTATAACCATATGTTTTATGAAAGAGTACCAGCCTAACAAATATCAACCTGATCAGATATGAGAACATTTTGAATATTTCGACATAATCTTAAATTGTAATCAGAAGTAAGTGGTAGGTCTTTATTTTTTTCATTAAATATTTAAGACTAGCTTCAAAAAGGATAATTTACACCTATCTAAATTATGTAATCGATAAATAGGAACTACAGAAAGGTTTGGCTCAAACAGCAGTTAATGTTACTTTTTCAAATTCATATTTCAGTATCGACAAATTATATTATAACACACTGCTGATTGTATAATCTGACATACAGATCTGTGTCCACGCTTCGTTGACAAGTAGTGCGTTGACAAAGGATATGTACATGTATTTCAATCAGATAGTGTTCTATACAAAACTCCACTGCAATAAACTAGGAAATCCGTCCCACTAAATGTATCTAAATGTCAAAAAGCTTTTTATTTAATTAGTTATTATTTGTTGCATAATAATAAATAAAAACTGCCTAGAACCTTTTGTTAAGGCTAATACTAAGTCTTCCATATACACGCAGAAACACATCATTGAGTACCCCAAATATTCACATAAACGGTAATAACACCTTATAAAGAAACACATTTTAGGGAGGATTTCGAAAAGCAAATCTGGCTTTATGAGAACTGACGATAAATAACCTTGACATGAGACAGGCTAATAATGTGACTGGTTTTAACATGTTTCTGATTTCTAAGCCATCCCCGTAACTAAGGGCAGTGTAACAACACAACATAAGAGTGAATGATACACATTAGTTGGAAATTAAATTTTTGACTCTTCAGGCACGAAGAAAAAAAAACAATTAACAAAAGAAAAAACGACTTACAGTACCGATCTAAGAGCACTTACAGTTCCTAAAAGCTTATTCAAAACCAATTACAACAAATAAATAAATCACGTTCTCCAAGACTTACTTAAATATCAACCAGTATCATATACTTGTATAAAATATTACGTACATTTTACAGTTCAATAACATTTGAAAATAATTAAGATGCTATTTAAGGGTTATTATGTTTATTAACCAGATTCCTAAGAATTTCCTCGGCGGACTGATAAACAAACCTTTATTGACTGCTTCCGGAATGTTATCACATGCTTTTCCGTTATTGTCCGTGTGGTTTATCACATGCAACTTCGTGCATTTCCGGAAATTTGTTTGTAAACATGGCAGACGACACGGCTGCGTTTGTCGAGTCTATGAAAAACGACAACAAAGTGAGGAAAACTTATAATTTTAACTATTGAAACTACAGAAATGACTTTGAGGTTTATATATTATGTCATTTTTCATATCAGACCCTTTATCACATGTCAACCACAGGAAATGTGACAATTACATTTTTCAAACTCAGAACATAATAATTGTTGTGATATGTCACATGATAAATGAAATGCTTGTTATATCAATGAACACAATTAAAGTTAAGAAATTTGTATTTGGTTGTCTGTAAATTATTATCTAGAGGTTCAAAGAAAGACAAAATTTTAATAGTTCTTGTCTGTATTTCTTCTGCTGAAGTATATGATAAAAAGATTACATGTCATTTTTCATATCAGACCCTTTATCGGCCCTCGTTCATGATATCATCCCTCGAGCCTCCGGCTCTTAGGCTGATATCGTGACCTAGGGCGGATAAAGGGTCTGATATGAAAAATGCCATGTAATAATCTATACTTATCATATACTAAGAGTAAATAACTTATAATTTTTACTGTGTGATATTAGCATTGAATTAACGTTATTTCCAAATTTATCACATGCTTCCGACTATTATCACACGCCTTTCCGTAACGATATCGCATGGCATTCCGGCGTTACTCGGCAAATACCGGAAAATACACATCAATGGTACGTTTGCAGTGAAAAACATTTCAAAAAAGGTACAAAACAACTATTAGGAAACAGGAAAATATATAAATGTAAAATGCGGAAAAATGATACAATAAATGCATATTTCACAAAGTTTCCAGTATCATTTAGAGAGTTACTTTACGAAATTAATGTTGACTTTTCCAAACAGTGTTCATTATGTTTTAATGTTTTGTTGATTTTTTTTTATCGTCATTATAAAAATATATTATACTGTTGTTTTTCTCCTCTGTTGAGGCATATGATAGAAATTCATATCGGATGTATTACATTTGGTGTCCGACGTCCGTAAACATTTCACTTTTTGAACTTCCCCTTGAGAACCACTTAAATGCATCAATACATTAAACTGTTATTTTTCTCATTGTTGCAGCATATGGGCTGATATTGAACCTTGGACTGATAATACATCTGATATGAAAAATGCCATGTAATAATCTGATAGTACACAGATCAGAAATCAATATGAAGATACACATTCTATTTGTATTCGATTTTTAAAACCCACCCTAACATATTCCTCGTAATGTGAATGTAAATCTTTCAAGATATCTATTTTATCTAAAGCCAAATAGACACTACAAACGGTGTTAGATAATAGATATGACGTAATTTTTTTGGACATTTTTAACTATTATATTTGTTTGTTTTGTTCACACATTGTTGTCAATATAATGGAATTGTATGCGACTGTCATACAAGTGAGAGGCTAACCCAGCAAACACAAAAACATCTTTAAAATGTTTTTAAAATGTTGTGTCTAATGTCATGAAAATATCACAAAAAAACGTGAGAAAAACATTAAATGTATGGTAGAATATATATCGCTAAAACATTTTCTAATATATTTTCTAAAATATTTGCATAATATAATTAAAATGTTGTAAAGAAATATCATGATAATGTCAAAAACAATGGCGTATAAAACATTTTGATAATCTTTTAAAAAATATTTTCTAGAAATATTTTCTGAATGTTTGAAAAACATCATGAACATCAAATAATGTTATAAAAATGTTTTTTGGATGTTTTCTTGCAAGTGAGACTGTGCCTAAAAAATGTTTTCAAAATGTTTTAAGAAGATGTTTTTGGTTGATATCTAGATCATATCAATATAAAAATTTCTGTACTTTTGATTGAGTTTCCTGCTTTTTTAAATAACAAATCGATAGTTAAATTAATTTATACACAGTGATTAATTCTATATACAAACAAGAATAAATCAGTTGTTTTGCTAAGCATACGAAATTCACAATTCAAAGTCTCTAAAAACAAGAAGTATCTACAAATTTTGACACATCCAAAATGGCAGACACAACTCATCATGGTCAAGCCACTTACCAAATATGAAGTCATTCTGTTCATCAGCATTACTAATTAAAGTAATGAAAAATTTGAGAACATTCAACATTTTGAAATACAATGTATAAGCAAACAGGAAACAGGTGCCAGATACAAAAATGTTCACACATCACAGTTCATCACTATCAAGCAGCTCATTAAATATGAACTCATCTTTATCAGCAGTTTTGGGAAAAACAGTGATGAAAATATTTGTTGGACAAAATCCGACAAATATAGGTGGACAGACGACAGACAGTGCAAGAAAGCCCACATTCCAACCACAATGGTATAATGTTTAGTTTTTCACTCTCAACTTTTATTACCTATATTATACACATCATGCATATGTCAACCTGAACATGCATGACATATATGCCATTGGACATTATGCAAACATTATACACATTTTTAAGTTCAAGTTACATTGACTAAAACTTGTGTCCCAAATTCAGATTTTTCAATACAAGTTCTCTTTCTAAACTAAAACAATATACTTCTAATAGGGTTACATCTTACGTCAATAATCATTGATAATTGGCTGAAGAGATGAGAACAAAACACCATTTTACATCAACTATTTGATTTATTTAAGAATACGTTGAAAAAGTCAATCAATTGTCTTATTCAAAATCACTTGGAATGTCTTGTAGTGTCTTAGATCTTTTTCTTGCTGTGCCATGCTTCTGAAAAAAAATTAATCTTACATTCATATATAAACTTCTTGCACATTCCTTTATTATAGAACGATTCACGTTGCCTGAAGGATATACATCCCCCCTTTTAAAGTTTTGAAACAAATAACGATGATAGTCTGTCGGAAGGGGATGATAAATGGCTGACCGTGTTAAGAGAGAGCAATATGCCACGCTGAACTTCATTTAGTTATTAAAAAAAAAACACATAAAAAACTTGAGATATGTGTCCAGTCAAGAGTCTTATTTCATTTATACTCGTTGATTGTTGTCTATCATATTTTTTTTCTTTTATTGTTTTATATAAATCAGGCTGTTGTTTTTCTTGTTTTTTTTTAGTTTTCATTAAATGCATTGTATCCTGTAGGAGCCTTTAAAAGCCCTGCTACATAATGTCATTAAACATCTTATTGTCCTTTTTAAGTGTTAAACTCTGTAGAGTGACATAGTTTATAACTTGTCATTTGTATCTAAGGGCATATGATACAGTACTAGAAGTATATACTATAGGCACATAATAACTTATCGAAGTGTTACGCATTGTTTTCACAATGATGATAATAATATAACTTAACTTCCGAGAAACACACAGATGTCATTAAATGAGTTGTTTATATGTACTTGAAATACTTCAAAGGAAAGCAAATATGTTGTTTATGAAAACACACTGTTGGACTAAAAGATTGATTTAAATAAACAACTTGTTTCTATTTTGTCACAAAAAAAATAATTTATTCAAATATCCAGATATCTTTTCTGTATTGTATGCCCTTAATCATGAATGTAATGCATTGTTTATGCTAAATATTTGAATTAAATATGGAATAACAGTAATTCTGTATGAAAATCTTACTTCAAAAAAAAATTCTCCTGAAAGGTTGTAGACATTCCAAAGAACCTGCGCCACTTCCAAATTGTAAACCTGCATATTGAACTTGTCCTTTGTGGCTTTTCTTTTAGCTCCTGTTAAAAAATAAAAGATATATTGTATGTACATTGTGTGTATGAAGCAATAAATATAATTTTAAGCAACAGCTTATATTATCTTGCTTGTACTGAAGTCTTACATAGTCTTTGTAATGTTCATTAAGCTGTTAAGGGAAATTTAATTTACTGTTTTGCAAATACATACATACACTGATTTTACTAGGAAAAAAAATCTCCATATTCAAATGGTGCTTATATCATGTATATTATTGTTATTGTAACTTGTTTGCATGCCTCGGAAACAAGGTATTGAATCATGCTTATTGCAATAGTTGTTGTTGGTTTAAGTCTGTCAAATTTCTTTTTCATAATGTGTATTTAATGTAGGCAGTTTAATTGTTTTGTTTCAATTGTGTTGAGAAAAATTTAACATTTGTTTGTCAAGGCTTCAAAGTGGACTATATGGCCTTTATTTTCTCAGTTTTGAAAGCCGTACAGTGACCTATAATTTCTTTTATCCAAGTCATTTAAATTCTGGTGGCTAGCTGTCTCATACACCTGTACACCTTATCGCTATTTCAGTATTTGGAAATCTGTCCCGCTTGAACTTTTTACGTCAGCATACGTCATACAATAATACACCTTATCGCTATTCCCGCTTGACCTGAGAATCTATCCTGCTTGAACTTTTGACGTTAAACAACAATCACTTTTCCATTGTGGCATCAGATATTTTTTATGATGACGTCAAAATTTTAAGGGGACTTGTGACAGTTGTGTGATGTCCAGTAATGGGGGACAAATAGCAATAAGGTGTATTACTTTCAATTGTGGTGTCAAATTTTTTCTTATATGACGTCAACATTTTACGGGAACTTTTGTGATGTCCATGGCCAGTAATGGCGGACAAATAGCGATAAGGTGTATTGGCAATCAAACACACAAGCCACATATCCTTATTTTTTTTATATCAATGCAAAAATTCATAATTGGTGTACGTAGATGCTTGAACAGTGGCGGATTTAGGGGCCCGACCCCATTATGGAGCTACTTATATTATAAGATAAATGTATAGACTATTTACAAGTATCACTCCAAACGTTTGCTTGCCTTGGCCTTGGGCAGGGGCCCCCCTTTTTCAAAACCTTGATCCGCACCTCCAGAAACAGATGTAATTTGGTTCCGATTACGGCGATTATGATTGAACACACACAATGAATGCACAAGTTTCATCTTAACAGATTTATCATTCTTACCAAGTGAATGTATATCGCGAAACAAACAATATTCCACACTCCGGCACCGGAGTCTTTCCCGTACCAGGAAGAAGAAGAAAGAATTTTCTTGGCTCTCTTTGTTGATATCCTGTCTTCGTTTCAAAATTCAAATTTCAAAATCATTTCCGGTGATAAAACAAAAGTCGATTCCGGAAAAGGTCGGTTTTCCGTAAGGCATATAAACGATACGAAAATTGAACTTAGTACAGTTATAATACAGTTTTCATTTCTTAATTTCTAAAATATACACGAACGAAATGAAAAACATTAAAGAAAGGTGATTGTTTATTAACACTTTTATTGCTTAATTTAATGTTGACTCTTTTGAATTTTAATATAAGAAGGAATAAAATCTGACTTCAAGGATCTTCAAGATATCAATTAAGGATTTCAACCATAGTATCTTGCTTGTCATGATATTGATGAAATGTAGTACTATATCTTATCCTGAAAAAAACGAGCTAATTCCACAAAACGTTGTTTGTGGGGTTTTGAATAAAGTTTAAATAAAATATTATTTTTATATCCGCAAAATGTTGAATAAAATATCAGTAAGACTATTAAGTAATGTGTATGTCAGAATATTTTATAGAAAACATTTAGCTGATATTTTTCAGATGTTTTATATAAAACATTTTAATTTTACGTTATAAAACATTTTATGCAAATAGCAAAACTATATTTTTTGTAAAACATTTTTTTCCAGAATGTTTTTTGGATATTTGGAAAATATTTACTTTAAATGTTGTTAAAATATAAAATACCAATTGAAGAAAATATTATTTTTTTATATTATAAAATATCTACGGGATATTTTAGAACAATGTTTGAGAACATGAATAAAAGATATTAGCAAATAATATTTTGTTAATGTTGTAAAAACATTTTACTTAAATGTTAGAAATAAAACATTTCAAAAACAATAAAATAAACATTTTTTTTTATGTTTAAATGATATCTTATTGAAATATTTTGTGAGAGACGTCCATATGACATTTAAAAAATGTTTTTAAAATGTTGTGTGTTTGCTGGGAAGCTAGATATAAAACCAGGTTTAGCCCACCATTTTCTACACAAGGAAATGCCTGTACCAAGTCAGGAATATGACAGTTGTTTTCCATTCGTTTGATGTGTTTGAGCTTTTGATTTTGCCATTTGATAAGAGACTTTCTGTTTTGAATTCTCCTTGGAGTTCGGTATTTTTGTAATTTTACTTTTAAATATTACAAGTTTGATATAAAAAAAACTCTATATATGAGATGAAATGCAAAGTCGATAAACTTGTTTCTTAAATTTTTTTCACATTTTGTTTGAATGGTTTTACTTTATACGCCGCTCCAATTTTTTCCGTGTCCTTTATTTCCGAAGTTTTCAATACGAACAGTAGATAAATATTGGTGGTAAATCTCAACGACTTTTAAGTGAGGTTAGTATCTTGACTGAAAAATAATCTGATCACCGAATATTCAATGCCTTTATCTTGTTTGAGAATTACGTATTTAATTTTCGTTTTCCTGATTTTTTTTTTTTTTTTTTTTTTTGGTAGTTATTGAACCTGACATTCTTCTGAGCTCGTCTGCCACATAATTCTCGTGCATATTTTTTTTCTCTTCATGTATATAGATATATTTCGTCTGGAATTTAGCGTAACAATGTTAGATCTGTATAATTGAAGCATAAGAGCTAACCGAAAATGAAGTTAGCGAAATTATCCAGATTCTCAATTATAAAAAAATCGACAGTACCCTACAAAATAAGTAAAAATAAGATAGTTTTTAATATTGTATTTGTTATACTGTTGTTTTTCTTTTAGTCGTTTTTTTTTTGCCATGGCATTGTCAGTTTGTTTTCGACTTATGAGATTGACTACCCTGTGGTATCTTTCGCCTCTATTTAAAAATGTCCCCTTAAAATAGAAAAAACTTTTCTTATAATTTCAAAACAAAACTCTCCGAGAATGTAAATAGCCATATTCGTGAAAACATGCCATATGTTATTTTTTTTATTTAAGAAAAGCCGTTCAACTTTTTAATCAAAATTACCGGGCAATTTCGCCGACAAGATATCGAAAGAGTTTTTAAAAAATGATCAAAAGCAAATTCATATATGAATTCCTATTCGATTTTTTTTCCAAGAAAACATTCAACTAGCCACCAGTTTCTTGAACCCCTGACTTTTTGACCTCTACAACTCCATATTAAATTTGCTGGAAAAAAGGATTTTAACTTGTGGCTTTAAAAAAAGTGAAAAGAACATGTTATAAATTTCATGCGTCCGAAGCGCTTTTCTGGATCAAAGCTTAAGCCGAATAATTGAAAGCCAAGGATGTATAAGAACCGAAATAGTTGAAGACAAGTTTGGAATGTTATATTGTTATATTATAGTTCTTTTCTGTGTGTGTTACATTTTAATGTTGTGTTTCTGTTGTGTCGTCGTTCTCCTCTTATATTTAATGTGTTTCCCTCAGTTTTAGTTTGTAACCCGGATTTGTTTTTTTTCTAAATTGATTTATGAATTTCGAACAGCGGTATACTACTGTTGTCTTTATTTGGAATGGTTAGTTAATAATAAAAAAAGGAATGCAATTCAATCTTTGAAAAAAATGGTTTGAAAATTATTTTAATGGCAGATAAAAAAAAAAAAAAAAAACAGATTTCACAAAAATGAATCATCAGGCTTTACTATTTTTTCTGCTCAAGGTTCTGTGTTGCATGGGCTCTGTATTGTTCCTTAATCAATTATATTACTTTAAATTGTCGTTTGCTGATGCCACTTCATTGGAGAATTCTGGTCGTAGCATCATGCCGATAAAAATTAAGGCGACAGTAGTTTTAATGATGTTCAAATCTCGTAAATCGACTAAAAAGAAACCAATTAAGGTAACGCCTCTGTAAATAAAATCCGTATAGTGTCAACATGCACGCGCGGAACGCTGATGGTAGGTTTCTGATCATGTAGTTTTTTCCATAAAAACAGTGACAAATCTTGATTTATGCGATGAAATGGTCAAAAAAATGATTAATGTTGAAACTCAGAAAAACAGATATTGTGATCTTTTCAAAATTCGAGTAAATCTATAATGTTTGTGTTCGAATTTCCATTTGATTACTAAATAGCCCCAATGGTACAAGCCATAGGACTTTTGGTGTTATTCTGTCTGAAAATGTTAAATGAACCAATAAAAACAAAGCATTTTTAATTGTGTAAACAAACACTTAGGAGTACTAAGAGAATTAAAATTTAGATTGAATAAATAATATCTTGAAAAGTTGTATTAAGTATATTATATACCCGTCCTTTTTTTTTATATCCTTATGATAACTTGGACAACTATGCATGGTGTCGTCTTTTCAGATAGACTAGAAAAAAATGTAAATGGAAGCAGCAAGAATAGTGACAGGCTGACCAATATTTACAAAAAAACAGAACTTTTATACCCAGAGACAGGATGGAAACATCTTCTTTGTGTTAATATCATCGAACATTTCGAGGATTTTATATCGTTGTAAATGGCGATGCACTCAAACATCTCCTGGAATTAGTTTCTAAATATGTCAAAAGCATGTCAATTTATTTTTTTTTATGAATCGGGACGATATACTTATTCATTTTATTGACTTCCACTGACTTATATATCATTTGTCATACAATCAGAAAAAATAATAAATGTATTATGCCTTTTCAATATTTTTGATTCGAGCGTCACTGATGAGTCTTTTGTTACAGTAGACAAAACACGCTTCTGTCATATAAAAAGGCCTGGTATATATGATGAGTTTATATTCAACAATTATATTCGTACCCTAGACTCATTATCACCTTTTTTTCAAAACTCTCTTCTTGAAAAAATGTCAGTGTAATTAGGGGAAAAAAAGAATTTCTACAGACAATTGTCTCTGAAAAAAATGATATTAAGGTAAAAAAAAATCATAGACAAGTGCGTGTGTGATTTTCGTCACTTTTTTGCCTTTTGTGGCATGAGAATGTTGTTTTATTGACATTTGGTATGTACCCAACATATCCTTTTATGCATGATTAATTAATATTAACATAACCCAACATTTTCCAATGGCGCATATACGTGTAGGTATTTAATACATCAATTATATACAGTTACTATATAGACCAAAATCAATTAATCATAACTAGAAAGTGCTTAATTAGGATATCGTTTTTAAAAAATCTACTTTCGATTTAGAAGCAAAAATATCCTTGTACTTTGTACCCAACTTTTATTCACTGTATTTCTGTCACGAATGACATAAACAAGTCTGTTTCGTATATCAGCATGATATTTAACACGGATATTGAATGAAACAGTTTTGGAACATAATAATAGTTTCGATGTAAACAAATGTTCGTAGGGATACAAGGTTATCACTACAGAAGGAAGTACAACTGGGTTTTCCATTGCTAGATATACAGATCAAATTGGTAAGTTTGTTTTAATGAAAGCACATCTAAATAAAGGAGTACGTTCGATAACACTCTAAAATAGCCACTATTTCTAGCTACAATTTCATATTTGGATTTATTGACCAATATCACAATGAATCATAGCTAATACAATGACTAGTTAGGAAATTATATGTCTTTTTGTTGAAATTTACGTACTCACAAATAGCATTCATTTTGATTTTCCACGAAAATTTAATGAAAACGGGTAAATTTTCATTGATGTTTTGGACAGGAAACATAGAGCGCATGCGTCGACAAAGAAGATGTTACATATCTGACTTAAATATTACGTTTGTCGACGCCTGCGCTCTAATGTCACAGTACCAAAATTGCACCGAGTACCCAAATTGCACACATGAGGGGGATTTCGGGATTGATCCTTTCGGGATCCGCGAATTCTTTTTTCGAATTTCGGGATGTCGGGATTTAATTTTTTTTAAATCGGGACCTCGGGATTCCATGTTTTTAAGCCCGGGATTTCGGGATCAGGACCCCTCCTACCCCCCCTCACACATTTAGAAAAAAATAGCAGCGGAAATCTTACAAGTTTTCTTAGAGACTAAATAATTAGTAGTTTTATTATTTGACATTATACACGTCTTTCAATATAGCTAAATATATTTAAATATACACAAAACATTCACAGTATATATCAACAGATAAAGTATTCACTGGAAAAAGTAAAATCTACGGAAAAGCATGGACTATTGTCAAATTGTTCTAAATATTGGGATATATAAAACTAAACATCAGTTATTCGGATAAGGATGTGAATTTAAGCATAGATGCAATTTGGGTACTCCTCATTACAGAAGCATGGAACGTTTAGAGGTAGGTTCAAACCCATTTTTCTATTATTCAATATGGATTCAAAATTAAATTGGTGGATCTATATAGTAAATAAGGATACATCTACAAAATAAACACAGAATGAAAACTTTTGTCTGGATCATAAATAAACGTAGGTGAAAAAACTGCCAAAATAGGTGCAATTTGGGTACCCTCACGTTATTTTTCCTTGGCCTTAATTCGGTTGAAATGTGGACGATTTTGTCAAATGTCGCAAAAATCTCAATTTTGATCTATTTAGGAGTAATAACCAACGATTTAAAAGTACAAAACTTATTCAAAAAAGTTATATTCAATTTCTGTCTTTTTATCACTGTAAAATATTTATTATCTTTAAACATTAAACTTAATAATCGGGCCCTTACCGAACTAACTCTTTCAAAAACCGGGTAAGAGCTTACGGCATGGCGCTACATAAATGGCTTAACCCAGCATGTGGAAGGGACTTTCAAGTAATATCAGTTGGTTATTTAAATCATATAAGTTACTGTTGTGGTTTCCTTTTTGGCATTGGTTCAAAAACTATAGAACTTTATTTGAAGAGTCGCCATCATCATCAATTGTATGTTTGTTTATATAGTGATTAAGATTATAGCACAATGTTGACTGCTGTACCTCAATTTTGACTTTTTTTTTAGCTCACCTGGCCCTAAGGGCCAAGTGAGCTTTTCTCAAAACTTGGCGTCCGTCGTTCGTCGTCCGTCGTCTCCGTCGTGGTCGTCGTGGTCGTCCTTCGTCGTTAACTTTTACAAAAATCTTCTCCTGTGAAACTACTGATCCAAATTTTACCAAACTTGGCCACAATAATCATTAGGGTATTTGGTTTAAGAAAAAGTGTCCAATGACCCCGCCTGCCAACCAATATGGCAGACATGGCTAAAAATAAAACATAGGGGTAAAATGCAACTTTTGTCTACTATCTTGTAAACCACTATAAATGGAGAAAATATGACAGAGCAAAAACGTTTGGAATGATGAGATCTGTCTATTGTCTGTTAACTTCAAAACTGTTAGAAGACTTTTTATAGGAGTTATTGCCCTTAAATGACGAATTTTACCAACTTTTTAAACTTTTGCCTATTATCTTGAAATTATTATAGATAGAGAGAAACTTTATTTCGCAAAAATGATCAGCAAGACAAGATCTACAAATAAGTCAACATGATTGAAATCATCTGATGACCCCTTAGTGGAGTTAGTGCCCTTTAATAACAGTTTTTACTAGTTTTTTGAGTTTTTGCCTAATATCTGAAAAAGTATTATAATAGATAGATAGAAACTTAGAAAGGCAAAAATGATCTGCAAGACAAGATCTACCAATTAGTCAAATAGTTGAAATCATCTGACGCCCTTTTATTGGAGTTATTGCCCATTAATAATGGTTCTGACCAATTGTGTACTTTTTTTGCCTTATATTTGAAAAAAATATAATAGATGGATAGAACTTTATTTCGCAAAAATGATCAGCAAGACAAGATCTACAAATAAGTCAACATAGTTTAAATCGTCTGATGACCCCTTATTGGATTTGTTCTCCTTAATAACGATTTTTATCATTAAATTGTGTTCTTGCCTACTATCTGAAAAAACTATATTAAATATATAGAATCTTAAATAAGCAAAAATGACCAGCAAGACTATTCCAACAAATACGAGATTTTTGTCATGAATTCTATTCTAGTCCACAAAGATGGAGAATATCTATTGTTGAAGATGCACATAGACCTAGGTGAGTGACACAGGCTCTTAAGAGCCTCTAGTTACTTATTATGTCTGTTTGTTTTGCTCACACATTGTTGTCAATATAATGGAATTCTATGCGACTGTCTGTTTTATCTAAAGCCAAATAGACACTACCAACGGTGTAAGATAATAGATATGACGTAATTTTTTTTGGACATTTTTAACTATTATATTTGTTTGTTTTGTTCACAAATTGTTGTCAATATAATTGAATTTTATGCGACTGTCATACAAGTGCTATAAAACCAGGTTTAATCCACCATTTTCTACTTAAGGAAATGCCTGTTCGAAGTCAGGAATATAACAATTGTTTTCCATTGTTTTGATGTGTTTGAGCTTTTAATTTTGCCATTTGAAAAAGGATGGGGTGGGGAAGGTTATTATAGAACCAAATATTGTGTAGGTGAAAATTTCAAAGAGTTTTTTTGGGGGGGCAGGTGGGGATGGGGGTGGGGAAGGTTATTATAGAACCAAATATTGTGTAAGTGAAAATTTCAAAGAGTTACATTGAATGAAAATCGGTTAACAACATGTTGAAGTATTCAGAAATAAATATAAGAAGATGTGGTATAATTGCCAATGAAACATGATCAAACATCTCTCCACCAGACACCAAATGATTAAGAAGTTATAACAACTATAGGTCACAGTACGGCTAAACTATGGCACATTTTTTTTTAATTTTAAAAATCGATAGACGATGAATAATATTGATTTTACAATGTTTATAATATATAATTGACAAAAGATAGATGAAATATTTTTAAATATATTTATCTATTTTGAAAAATGTATGTTACTTTTATTTAAAAACCCAACTTTTTAAAACAATTTTATGTTATTTCAATCATATCAACATACCCGTCACGTAATAGAGTAGGTATCATGTTTTACAATACAAATTGTATTATGCTCTACTGAGCTTTTAACCGATATAACTTGTTTACTAAAATATAAGTTACAAATACATTTCCTGTAAATCTACTTTCGATCTGGCATATTTTCAGAAAACCCACTGTTTTATTTTTTTGTAAATAATCTCATCATAGATATCCGGGCTTAAAATTTTGTACGACAGACACGAAAAAAATAAAACTCATCAGTGACGCTCGAGTAAAAAGAGAAAAAGAGTTAAAAAGGCCAAATAAAGTACGAAGTTGAATAGCATAGAGAACCCCAAAATAAAAGATGTGTCGCATATATGATATGATTACATGTATTATTGTGTCTACTCTTGACACTACACTTCCACACAATCTTATCAAACAAAAGGTTTTCTTTTTAACCAAATGGTCGTTTGAACATTTTATTGCTAATTTATTTGCTGCTACTCATATAAAGCCTTCTTCTCAAACGAGAAAGGTAAACATGCTTATTCAGTAATTCAGTGGTTGTCGTTTGTTGCTGTATATCATATTTGTGTATCGTTCATTATTTTGTACATAAATCAGGCGGTTACTTTTCTCGTTTGAATTATTTTACATTTGTCATTTCGGGGCCTTTGATAGCTGACTATGCAGTATGGGGTTTGTTCACTGATGAAGGCCGTACGGTGACCTATAGTTGTTAATTTCTGTGTCATTTGGTCTCTGGTGGAGAGTTGTCTCATTGGCAATCATACCAAATCTTCTTATTTTTATGGATATACTTACTGGAGTTGTGATGAAATGATTAAAGTTGTAAATTTCCTCCTTGACAACATTTACGTACGTTTCGGCAATAAAGTTTATCGACAAGTTGTAGGTATATCTATGGGCACCGATTGCACCCCTTTCATAGCAGACTTGTTCCTGTACTGTTATTAATCATAATGTATGGCCAAACTCAGTAAGGACCCGTCTTAATTCCATTTAATCGATTAATTCAATAACAATTACCGTTATCTTGATGATATTTGGTCGTTAAATAATCTAGGGCCTAGGTGGCAGAGTGGTCTAAGTAGTCGAACTACTGTATCACTAGACTGTCAACACCGAGGTTGGGACTTTGAATCCCGCACCTGACAGGTACGCTCGATTCTGATCTTAATTGACTAGGATTGTCAGTTTTCCTACCGAAGATCAAGGTTTATTTCGGGCACCCCGGCTTCATTCACCAATAAAAACTAACTGCCACGAAATAGCGCAAAAGTGCTGAAAATAGCGTTATACACCAATCAATCAATCAATCAATTCATTGTTAAAGATTTTGCTGAAATTTATCCAAAAGAAACTTACTTTCAATAAACCAATTATAAACATCAATAACTGTCCTTTCCTAGATTTAGATATTTAAGTTTTACACGAGAAACTCTACACAAAAATTTACGAAATAGGACGATTTTTTGTTCCCTATGTTCATTTTTCATTTTTTGGACGGTGATGTTCCTTTAGCTCCATCTTACGGTGTTTATATATCCCAACTCGTTCTTTATGCCCGTGTGTGTTGTGACGTTTTGGGATTTCAATGAACGTAATCTGTGTATTACTGGTAAATTAGTAAGTCAGTAATTTCTCCAAAAATTTACCAGTAATACATAGATTACGTTCATTGAAATCAAAAACATCATTACAAACACGGACATAGCGAACAATTTGGGATACATAAACACCGTAAGATGGTGCCAATGAAACGTTTAACGTCTAAGAAAGGAAAATGTTCAATACGGAATGAAAACCTGTCCTTTTTGACGTATTTTTTTGTGTAGAGTTTCCCGTGTAAAACTGAAATATCTAAATCTAGGAAAGGACATTTATTACCGTTTATATTTGATTGATTTAAAGTAAGTTCTTTTGGGTAAATTTTGGCAGCATATTTAGAAAATTCTTGATTATTCAAGGAAAAAAATATCCTCAAGATAACGGTAAGTGTTGTTGAATATATCAATTAAAATGAATTATGACGTGTCTTTACTGAGTCTTAATATAGCACACCTGAATGATCTTAAATTAAAACCTATATGTAGAAAGTCCTTCTTCCTTCTTGTGAAACGTAGATACTTAGTTTTTTTAATATTCTTTTGAAATCGATACTGAAACACATACGTATCTTCGTTCGAGATGATTTAGTTATGTTGAAGCACTTTCCGGGAAAAGTAAAAATATTATTATGACATCAAAATAAGTAGCAATGAAAGAAGAAATTTAAAAACGAACCTCTTTTTTTCAGTAACATTTAATATATTTTTTACATTCAGTGTTAAAGTGAGAAATGGGAAGAAACAAAAGACACAAACCGATCTTTACTAGAAGGTACAAGATTTGTACATCTACAACGCCGAATCTAAATCCAAATAATTCAATAAGACCAAGTGTTGATTATAGTGACGTAGACTTTGAATCCATAACTGTTGACCTCCAACAGGAAGACGAAACAGACACAAAGAACCCAACAAACGATGCAAATAGACTATCTGTATTTGACCGTTTGGGTACTAAACAAAAGAAATCGCTGAGTGAACGTATAGGACAAACTACAACAAATCAATCGATAACGGATATTCGAAAAATTTCAAAAGACTTTCAGGATAATAATAACTTTAAAACAAGATCTGAATCAAGCGTTGCATTCAAAACAACAGATAGAGCTCACAAATATGATACCAACATAAGACAGCTGGATGTACCAACAGAGAACCTTTCGTCACAAGAGAAAACAAATGAGTCACGAAAACGAAAAAACACAAGCCAATCACATAGCACCGACACGAATTGGAAAAAGAAAATTAAAACATCAAACACTGAAAAATATGGGGAAAGTAGTAAAAATTACCACCATAATGCACATGATTACAATGACAGAACCAGAGACAAACGACCGTTTCATAGAAAAAGAACACCTGAAAGGTCACGTTCTAAGAACAACAGAAGTCGAGAACCTCACCTTTCCCCTAGACGACGAGAACGATCATCCTTTTCAAAGGAGAGAAATCGTTGCGTTCGCGTTCCGGAAAGGCAAGATATTTCTCTTGACAGACAACGTTCAAGGCAAAAAACTATATATAAACGATCACGTTCAAAGTCACCACAAAATCCTAGATATAGAGGACAATCTTCACTAACAAATACATCAGAACAGCAAAGAAGACAAACTTCTAGTCCCCATTTGGTTCACAGACATACAAGACAACAAAGGTCTCCATGCAAAAAAACCGACTTTTATTCATCTCATTCAATTGCTGACATCAACACTGAACATGATAGAAATACCAAAAAAATACACGAAAAAGATAGCAGACATGAGACCACAAGGTACGGAGTATCTTCCCAGAATTCTAAAAAAAATTGCACGATAACAATTCAAAACGACGACACATACAGCAATGCGATTGATCCATACACATACTCGTTAAATGTGAATCAAAGAAGGAATTGCAAAGACCGATATCAATCTCGTTCAAATGTCAAATCGAGAGGCCCAAACACAAAGCAAAATTACAATGGAAATAAAACATTCACAAAACGTTCTCAGAATGGATTTGAAGCATCTGATCAAAAGATAGACATTGCAAAATTATCAAACATGGATAGCGATAGTTTAGCGGCTTATCTGAGTACTTGCAGTAGAGAACTAGACACATTTCTATTTAAGCATGTGGTAATTGAGCATATGTCCTTATTTTTGCAAGTTATGTGTCAGGTTTGTGAGTCTAAGCATAATTCATTAGTACAGAAAGCTCTCAATCCATTAAAAGAAAGGAAGTTTTTTGACCGACAGGATATAAAAGATATTATTTGCGAGCTTCGTTTACAGTTTGATCAGGAACAAATTCACATGCTGACAAATTTACTTGTTTTGATGAAAGGGCTTGTATGTCATGTCAAGACTGGACCCTCCGATTTAATGCAACCATTAGATTCTTTAGAAAGATGTGTTTACGAAAAAGTCAAAGATGAGAATCAACAAAGAGACCTAGAGTCTTTAATACAAGAAATAAGAGACAAATGGGATCCAGAGAAAACTCCTTACACAGAGAACAAACTTTCAACACTAGCTATATTGCCAGATCTTATTGAAATACAGTCGTGTGAAAGTTCTATCGTTGATACTGAGTATGAAACAGAAGAAGCCTACTTACGAAGACTATTTATGGTTCATCGTCAAGATTTTATTAGGCCCTTATGTAGAGGGTTGATGTCTTTAAAAGATAGTATATATGAAGATCCAGATTGCCTTGAGAAAAGATGGCGACATGATGACATCCGTGTTTTTAAAAATATAACTTTTCTAACACGCTGTTGCAATGAACAGAACGGATTAACTTGGAAAATAAGATTTGATATCACTCCATATAGTCGAATCAACTGGAACACCAGAAAGTTACTTACATTTGGATCTCTTGTTTGCTTAACTAACAAAACATTTTCTATTCTCCAGTACGCAACTGTAGCGGAGCGTAATGCTGGGGATCTAAAAAATGGGATTTTTGAAATTAAATTTACCGAGGATATTGGAGATGTGTCTACAATTTTTCAACAGTCTGATGTTCTTCTAATTGAAAGCCAAGCTTTCTTTCCGTCTTACTTTCATACATTGCAATCACTTAAATGTATGCACAGTGATATATTCATTGGGGAAAATAGTTTACCTTTCGGGAAACAGTTGTTAAACAAGAGGCGGAGCATAGAACACAATTTGCCAGATTATTTTGAATCCCCTAAATTCGCAGAAGAAGGATTTGATATCAGCTGTTTGAATTCTGAACTACAGGCATACAACATAGATATTGCATCTGAGTCAAACTGGCCTGATGCAGATTTTCTCAAAATGGACGAATCACAACACAAAGCTTTTCTCACATCAATGAAAAGTAAACTTGCCTTAATACAAGGACCACCAGGAACAGGGAAAACAGTAGTTGGACTCAAAATAGCTGAACTTCTATTAAAAAATGAGCATATATGGCGTCAACATGATAACCAAGGGCCAATGCTACTTCTCAGCTACACCAACCATGCATTAGATAATTTTTTACTTGATATTTCTAAACAATTTCGAGAAACCGACACCACTGATATTGTTCGATTAGGAACAAGATCAGATAATGAATCACTGAGAAAATATAATTTGACGACTAAACGCAGAGCATACAATTACAGCAAGGAAGAGTACATTACTCGGAGGGGAGAAGTTGAAACACGCACAAAAAGGGAAAGCTCGGGCGAACTAAATGGAATGGCATTAAATGCTAGAACAAATCTGAAAACTAGGATCAAAGAGCATGAAAACCTGAAAAAACTACGAGAGGAAATTCTGACAGGAATAGTTCATCAAGACTGGCTCCATTATGTAGCTAATGTGATTACTGACACACAGTACAGTGCACTCAGGAACGAAGATTCTTTAATTAGGTGGCTTAACATTGGATCAATAACACAGCAAGTAGTTTCTAAACAACATAATTATTGGGCAAATAGTTATGAAGAAGATGATTTTGATTATTTGGATGAAGAGGAAAATTGGTATAATGATCAAAGTGGAGATAATGATGAAGAGGACATACAAACAATGAAAAAAGATCTACAGATGCATTTAGACTTAGAAAAACTTGAAATGGTGGTTTCTTCAAGCATTGTATTTGGCAAAGAGAAATCGCAAACCAAACCATGGTTTTGGGAGAATTACGATAAGAATGAAAAAAATAGTTTAATCAGAAAAATAGAGGAGAAACTCTGCTGTACACAAGCAATGACGATTGGAAAAGCAAGTTCAGTGTCCAATATATGGTACATTCACAATGAAGAAGAAAGGTGGCAGTTATATAAATACTGGGTTCACCAGTCTCTCATTCCAATCAATAAAGAAATACAAGATTGTGAGAAAAGCTACAAAAGAGCTCAAGAACGTTATGAAGAGATTCAACACATAGCTGATATCAACATATTGAAGAGAGCAAAACTTGTAGCATGTACAACAACTAGAGCGGCAAGAGATATAGAAATACTTAAACGCGTTTCTCCAAGCATTGTTCTTCTTGAAGAAGCTGCCGAAATTCCAGAACATCACGTAGTGGCATGTTTGACATCTTCATGCCAGCAACTTATTATGATTGGCGACCATCAACAACTGCGCCCTTCTTACAACGATTACCAAACAGCACGACAACATAAAATAAATATTTCCCTTTTTGAAAGACTTATTGGTGGACGTTTCCCATTTAAACAATTAGAATATCAACATCGAATGAGACCAACGATATCCAAGCTTTTAGTGCCTCACATTTATCGTACATTGCAAGACGATAACAGTGTGTTGAAGTACGAAAATGTCAAAGGAATTCACTCTAATATGTTCTTTTTATCACATTCTGTGTTTGAAGATCGGGAGCGCGAAGAGCTATCAAAAAGTCACAAGAACACTTTCGAGGCATTGTTAATTTGTCAATTGTACAGGTATCTCAGAATGCAAGGATATCCATCTTCTAAAATAACTGTGCTGTCAACATACCTAGACCAGGTTCGGCTTCTACGCGACTTGATTAGGCCTATAGAATACGAACTTTCAAAGAAGGATTCTTATATAGATGGCGTTGTAAATTGTCCAGTAGTTTCAAATAATCATGACAAACCATCAAATGAGCTGGGCGTAAAAGTAACAGCAGTAGACAATTTTCAAGGGGAGGAAAATGAAATAATATTATTGTCACTTGTTAGAAGTAATATAGAAAACACAATAGGCCATTTATCCGAGCCAAATAGAGTTTGTGTTGCTCTATCAAGAGCAAAAATTGGACTTTACGCAATAGGCAATTTCGAACTTTTAAAAGCGAAATCAAGACTATGGAATGATATTGTTAAGGATGCGGAAGATAACAAATCTTTTGGCACACGTCTGCAGCTAACATGTCAAAATCACAAGAATTCAACCTACATTTCTAAGTCAAACGACTTTGATCTTGTTGCAGATGGCGGATGTCAAAAACCTTGCTCTGTCAGGAGACCATGTGGCCACTTTTGTTCAAGGAAATGTCATGTAGATGATCCTGCTCATTCAAACGATTGTTCAAAACAATGTCACAAAGAAGTATGCGAAATGGGACATCGGTGCATTAAATCTTGCCATTTTCCATATGCATGTGGAACATGCAATGAAATTGTGGAAAAGATCATATCTGAATGTCAACATAAAAAACGTATGAAATGTTCTGAAGATCCAGATTTGGCGTCATGCGATGAGCGATGTCAAGCTATTATATCATGTGGTCATCTTTGTCAGAGACGTTGTACAGATCCTTGCAATTCAGAAGATGACTGTATGGAGTTGATAAAAGTGGAAGCCCGCTGTGGACATTTAGTACAGGTGGGTTGTTGCACCAAATATGACCCACCGTGTAGCTTACCGTGCTTAGTAATATTAGCTTGTGGTCACAAATGTCAAGGAACATGTTCAGATTGTAGTCAAGGAAGGCTTCATGTACCATGTAAAGAAAAATGCAATCGAAACTTAGTATGTGGACATATTTGTAAAGAATATTGCAATTATCAATGTCCACCTTGTAAACAGAAGTGCGATCGACAATGTATTCATGGTGATAGATGTAAAAGCAGATGTGGCGATAGTTGTATACAGTGTATTGAACTTTGTCAGTGGGAGTGTAAAGCAGAATGTCCAAACAAATTTAAGTGTGATAAATTATGTATGGAACCTTGCAAAAGACCAAAATGTAATACTCTTTGTAATACTATACTAGATTGTGGCCTCGGTCACAAATGTTCAGGACTATTATGCGAATGTTCAAAGTGTGTTTGTAAAGTATGCGATAACTTGACAGAAATATTATTTGGATATGAAGAAGAAGATAACGCCATGTTCATTCGGTTAGAAGACTGCACATGCGTTTTGGAAGTTAATGGACTAGACCAATATATTTCAAACGTCCTGGATAATACCAGTAACGAAATCAAGTCTTTGAAATGCCCAAAGTGCAGTACAAAAATATCAAAGTCAAAAAGATATTCTAACGAACTAAAACTTATCAACAAAAACATTTGTGAAGTATTTCGAACCATTCGAAATAGCGAAAAAGGTACTGATCTCAATGCAAAGCGGTTTACTACTAGACAGTTACTCACTGAATATGAATTTGACTTACCTCGTAACAAATTCACTAAACTAAGGGACAAAGTTCAAACCACTAGATCGGCCGATATTCTGAACATGATAGTCGATCAGTTAACTTTTTATGAAGAAATACGTAACCTCAGAAAAAAAAAGTTTCCTTCCGACTGTCGACGGCTATTAAAAGCATGGTTAGATCGACTGGAAACATGGGTGTTTTTAAAGCGAAGCAGATATGCAAGACAAGAATATAACGAATTTTTTCTGGAAAAACGACGACTACAACTAACAGCTGATATTCATAAATTCCAAAAAGAACTTTATAAACAAGATGAGGGACTTGCACTCCCTCAGGATATTCAATATTACTTGGTAAAACTTAAATCTAATGAAGTTGTGCAAGAAGACGAAATATCAAAAATGAGAAGGGAAACTAACGAAGTCTCCTCTAGAATGATTGGTCTTACTTTGGAAGAGAAGCAAATGATAAAACGAGCCATGGAGAATGAATTTATGGGATCAGGACATTGGTACAAATGTAAAAACGGTAAGTGAGAATTTTTGAAAATAAAGAAATTGCACTACTTGAACTTGCAAGTTTAAAAAATTAATATGGTTACACAACGTAACTACCTCGCTGCCAAAATTTAGAACAAAAAATGAGATGAAATTCTAAAAGTAATAGCCGTACAAATTTAAAATTTTGAATACTAACAAACTTTTAAAACTTAACAAACCTAACAAAGTAGCTCTGATACATCATACTTAATATGAATGAAGGGAATGATAGGTATAGTCAATAACATAACAGTCAACAATTAGATGAAAAGTATTTTACATGTAAACATACTGTCCTCAATGATAAACAAGTGTCCAGACGACAACTCCAGTTCTTACAGTCTTAACAATTTTACAGAAACTAATTCAATGGATGTTTCCATTTAATGACTGACTACCTAATAGAGGATAATATATTTGACTTTGTTTACGGTCTTGTATTTGGAAATCTGGAACAAAAGTTCTCAATTCCTATCTGGAAACAATATAAATAATATTTGGCAAAACCTTTCGGAATTTTGGGTGCACAATGCTTGTCAACTTCTTACTTTTTTTGGTCTTTTAACGTTTTTCATTCGAGCGTCACTGTTAAGTTTTTTGTAGACGAAATGGACATCTGGCGTACACAATTTTTAATCCTGGTATCTATGATGAGCTTATGACGTACAATAATACAAACTGACACTTTTTACTTCTTTGGTAAAAGACATGAGATTTTTTTTTTATATTTTCAAAACAAGTAAATCTACTATGAATATACCAATCAAGAGATAAAAAAAATTAAGAACTTAAGAGTATGGCATTTGGTAGTACTTACCTTTTCCCTGATATTTCTTAAAAATATATGAAAAATGATTACAAATTAAACGTAATCTCCCGATGGAAATCAACCAAGCCTTCAGACAGCCTAATACCAGATACGGTAATTCAAAGCAGATTTATACCTTAAATAACCTCTGTATTGGAGACCTTTAAATATGTTTGACAATAAGGAAAAACAATATGTTTAATAAGTGCTCACTTAGTAACCCTTACTAGAAAGTGAGTGATCGACTGCATATAGTAATGTGATTTTTATGTTTTTTTCATCAGAAACTCATCCTTTACCTTGAGTTTACTTTAAATTTAAAAATCTACTCAATTGTCAGCATCTACAGCTATTGTACATCTTCCTTATTGGTTTATTCATTGAATTAATTACAGTTATTTTCAAAAGCAAACCAAGAGTAGATATGCCGATGTCATCGATTTCCTCTTAAGCAATTAATGAATTACAAAATATATATACCAATTTTTAAAATCCTTAATGTGCTTATCTAATTTCATGTTCATTTGTTTGGATATTTTCGTAAAATCTGGTATCAGTAAATACATTTTATGGATTCTGGTGATAGTATATAGAGGGTTTCCTTAAAACAGGTAGTCTTCAAGTTTTAGATTCCTCTCGTTTCAGGGCATTATTATTCTATAGGAGAATGTGGCATGCCAATGGAGAAAATAAAATGTCCACAGTGTGGATTGGCAATAGGTGGTGCGGATCATATTCTAACTGATGACAATGAGAGAGCTATGGATTTTGAAAATCTTTAAAATATTTCATTTTTAATTATATTCTTTGCTGGTAATACTCTGTTAATTATATTTTTCAAAATTATCAGGTATACTGTGTATAATGTGCTGTGAGCACTAAACACAAATCTTTAATCTTTCGGCCAGATTTTGATATACAATCTCTTCCATAATCAGCACTTTAGTACACACTGCAAGAAATGTGCGCGGTAATGTAATGCTGCGAATTCATAAGGACTTAGTCTTCAACAAACTAGATTAGTCAACCGGAGAGCGTTTGTTTTGTTTATCTTTGGGGAGGAGGAGGTATGGTAAGAGTTTGTTAACTTCATGAAAAACCATGATGTCTTATTTTATACTTTTTCATACATGTACATTCATAATAAACGTGTATTTTGCAGAGATGTATATGCACATAGTTTTCATTTTTAAAATGAAATTAAGGAAAGTATTATTCAATCAGCCTGAAGGTGTCATTTAAAATTATTGAATTGTTACATTAATGGGAGTTTCCTCTCCGTATCAGTAATAATAACTCAAGGACAATCCAGCAGAATGACAAGACACCCAATGATACACATCAAAGATCAAGATACGGGTATCAATAGTTATGTATACAAGCAGCAATTAACAGTCACATATCGTTTATATTTAATTTATATATAAATAAAGGGGTTTATTCGGTTACGATTTATTGTAATAATCCATTAAAGGGCCATAAGCTGTCAAATAAATGTTCATCAATTTGACTCAAATTCTCACATTTGATTTATAACATACTGAAACGTATATCCAAATTACAAATCGATAATCTTTATCTGCATTTCGTGCGTATTTTAGTCTAGACGTCATCTAATTAACCATCGAGATGACCTCCAAAAACTGCCGACGTTCGTTCAACTCGATATAAATAAGAAATGCAAATATAAATAGATAGCGAGCACGTACAGTTGGACTTATATATGTCTGTTTGATTTCATGTTATATGTTAACAAAATATGTTAATTATCGTTTTTACCCGTATAAGAATGATTTTTTGTGGATCGAATCAGTCAACGAAGTGTTTCACCCTTGTTTCAATTTATTTGTTGACATTCTTTCTCTTTAGTTTTAATAGCCGAACACGCCTAGTATATCCGTAACTCATCTTAAACAAAGGGGTTTAATTGAAAGTCAAATGAATACGGACTGAATGAGGTTAAATTAATGACTTGCAAGTCATAAAACATCAGCAATGTTTTTGAACTTTTTTTACAAATTTGGGCCAACGAAATATTTCAAAATTCCGCTTTTATTATTACTTGAAACAAAACGAATCGTTATTTAAATTTTTGTCAAAAACGTTGCTGATATTTTGTTGGTTTTTTTTCGTTTTTATTTTGTCGAGCCTGCGACTTCTCTCGCAGAAAACGAGACATAGGGATAGTGATCCGGCTTAATATTTCAGAAGGTAGAAGACCTGGATCCTTCATACTTCGTATATAGATGCCTTATGTTATAAAATTTCCGTCTGTCATATGTCCATTGTCCTTCACCTCATTTTCTTGGTTCATTGACTACTTCAAAAGTTCAGATTTGTAGTATTTTTAATTTCTCTCTTATTATGAGTAATATGATAACTATATTTCGTATGTGCGTACCATGCAAGGTCTTCGTGTCTGACAGACAGTTTTCACTTGACCTCGACCTCATTTCATGGATCAGTGAACAAGGTTAAACTTTTGTGGTCAAGTCCATATCTCAGATACTATAAGCAATATGTCTACAATATATTTGGTGTATGGAATGATCGTAATGTGTACATGTCCAACTAATAGGTGTCATCTGATCTTGACCTCATTTTCATGGTGCAGTGGTTAAGATTTTGTGTTTTGGTCTGTTTTTCTAATACTGTTTGCAATAGGTCAACCATATTTGGTGTATGAAAATATTTTACGATGTCTGTTAGGTTTTGTTTAACCTTGATCTCATTTTTACAGCTCATGACAGTCTGTTTTTCTTAAACTATGATCAATAGTTCAACCATATTTGGTGTATGGAATAATTGTAAGGTGTATATGTCTGTCTGGCAGTTATCATCCGACCTTTGCCTCATTTCTAATAGTTCATTGGTCAATATTAAGTTTTCCTGGTTAAGTTTGTTTCTTAGATACTATATGCAATAGGTCAACTATAATTAAAGCATATAATGATTGTAAGGTGTACATGTCTGTCTATCAGGGTTCATCTGACCTTGACCTCATTTTTATGGTTCATTGATCTATGTTAAGTTTTCCTGGTAAAGTTTGTTTCTTAGATACTATGTGCAATAAGTCAACTATACTTAAAGCATTGAATGATTGTAAGGTGTATATGTCTATCATTTGATATATAATTTGTTCACACAATTACGTATTTGTTTAATATTGTATTACAGTCCGAAATAAAAAAAAATCACTTGTTTGCAAGGGCTTTTTATCTACCTTTCTTCATATCTGAAGTTGAATAATAAGAGTTTTTACAGAAAGTAAGCAAAAAAAATTCGAATGTTTTCAAGATATAACAATCCTACTAACTAACCATTTTTAATGAATGGTTGCAATCCTACAGTGCTCACACAAAGATGTCGCGATACTTTTTGGACTTGCTAATTTACTACTTGTTATGTTTAAATTCATTTCATTTAGCCAGTAATTTACATATTATGCCAAATGCAACACTAAATGCTTGCATTACATAAATGTATCTATGTTTTCTGTTATTCAATGTTTACTTATTTTGTGTTATATCTGGTCTAACTATTTGTTAATATATACCATATTTGATATGTATTTAGTATGACGAAAAAAATTTTACTTCTGTACTCGTACTAGGAATAACAACTTATTTCGTAAAATATGTTTCTGTACTCTTAACAACAAAATTATTACATTCAAATTGTACCTGTGTACGTTACTTTATTTAACATCATTTTGTCCTTGGTTAAAGTTGTCTTTATGACATTGAAACATCTTTTTTATTTATATTGTGTCATAGATCAAACTTATTCGTTCAGTGTATATTTACTTGTTTTTGTTATTGTCTTTTTGGTCGAGTTAAGCTATTTCAATTGATATTTTATTGTGTGTATATTTATGTTGTAATGATGTACCACTGTTTCATGTAAGGGTGAAGGTTGGCGCCTGTTAAAACGTTTAAACCCGCTACATTTTTATGCAGCTGTCCTAAGTCAGGAACCTATTGTTCAGTGGTTGTCGTTTGTTGGTGTGGTTCCTAGGTGTTTCTCGTTTCTCGTTTTTTATATAGATTATATAGACCGTCGTTGGTTTTCCTGTTTGAATTGTTTTACACTAGTCTTTTTGGGACCCTTTATGGCTTGCTGTTCGGTATGAGCCAAGACTCTGTGTTAAAGGCCGTACTTTGACCTATAATTTACTTTTTACACATTGTGACTTGGATGGATAGTTGTCTCATTGGCACTCATACCACATCTTCTTATTTATACTTTATCTGGATAGTTTCATCTAAACAGATTTGTTTATTATCAAAACCTATTTAACGGTCTACTCTGTTACTTAATATGTAGCTAATTTATCAAAAAGACTTTAATTTTCTTTATGAGATAATTATTTTTTTTCAAGTTGTAACACATTTTTTAAGTGTGTGTCAGTATCATGTCTCTATTCCATAAAAGTTATCATTTTCTATACAAACGCATTCTATTATCTTTTTTACTAATAAGGAAGAAAATGAACGATGATTTTACTGGCAATATCTGAAGAAAAAAAATACTGGCGAAACAAACAGGTGAATATCCTAAAATATCTTTTGAATATGTATTGATTATAAAAAAGAAAATTCGTAGCTTATGTTGATGTGTGGAGCTTCTTAAAATGCCACATAACAAATTTTATATTTAAACTATATCGGATGTTCAAATATGAACTTCATAGTCACATATTTGATCTGCACTAATGTTGTCATTGTATAAAACGTGGTGTCAAATAGATCCTTTTATGTTTTCCCTATATGTAAATACATATTTCTCTTCGACAATCACATTACTTTGATGTTGTTTAGAATATTATAGTATAATGTGAAATGTTTCAGATGTTGTTCGTATAATAAAAATTATATAACTTCGTTTACGATGGAAATAAATATAACCAATTAATCAATCAACTATACACTTCACTGGTTGTTATTTAAAACATGGTATGGTTTTAATCAATATGTACTTCATTTGGCATCTGACGGAGAGTTGTCTCATTGACAATCATACCACATTTTCTTTTTTTTTATATATACAACAAACTACATCTACTTTTCATTCCCCCATATATCATAATATTCAAATTTACCCTAACATTTGATGCTTATGTATGTTTTTGTTTGAATATAACAATACAAATAGTACATCAAGTACTGTAGTATTGTTCAGATATCCAACACTAGCCGAAGAATGCCGTTTAGATGTGGCCTACAAACTTAACTACGATATCATATGTGTTGGAAAGATTTATATTTGAAAAAGAATTTGTCTAATAGCTTAATAGCCGGTCCCTTTTCTGTTCTTTCTGATGTACATACTTTGTGCACTGAAAATATCTCATTGCAATTGTTTCTATCCTTTTTACTCACCCAAATTAATTTGATATGACTTGTAAAACTATAACAGAACCTAATTTGTGTGGCATGACTTCTATTTGAGTTCAACAATGATTTGATAGTAGTCATCACAAAGGCCTCGGAGATATACAACCCTTAAATCAATTCTTAGACTAGTTCTATTTTGATGTATCGGTAGGGTAGTTTGTTGTTGTAACAAGATACAATAAGTTGCAACGTTTTACATTTTTTATTGATCATGTTCTTTAATTCAGTATGCATTACAGGCAAAACGATCATGTGCGAATTCGGAGATACGTTCACATTTTATCGAATGCCAATTGCTTGATAACAATTCAAATTTATATCAAAACAAAAATGCTAAATAAATGATCAATGTTTAAAGATTAAATAGCTATCATTTAATAAATAATATCAAAGTCGAAATAATTCGCTGTTATTTTGTATT